GTCAGCTGATGTCCATGAGGTAGAGTACATGTTCAGGCCCATGGTTCACATGTCGGGCCAGACAAAGGAGGTACTGTTTTTCATCAGGCCAGGAAAGTGGTGCTATTTTAGGGTGCTTAATGTTGAGTGTTACATATCCCTTGTATAACACTGACACAGCTAAGCCAGTAAGACTAAAAACTGGCCTTACTATTAGGTCACCTCAGGCTGAATAACCTGGAACACATTTCACCCACACTCCTGACCATCTTTTTCACAGGACCTTAAAGGTAGAATGGTTTTATAGGAGATGAACAATCATGTGCCTTGGGAAAGTGACCATCAATCATCACCAACATCCAAAGAAGGTCAGTATGGCTCTGGACAGGAAATTAGAGCTGGAGATGAATACAATTAGTTATTTTTAGCAATGTTCCTAATTTACAAGAATTTCATGTAGTCTTTTCTAAAGCACTAAATTACACAACCAAACTACTTCATTAACAGAGACTTATTCTGACATAATACTATCACAATAAAACTAATTGTGATCATGTGGGCCCTCATTCAAATAGAGCATCAAACCAGGTGATCAAGAGTATCTCCCATATTGTCACTTAAAGAATACACACACACACACACACACACACACACACACACACACACACACACACGCACACACGCACACACGCAGGCATGCACGCACCCTAAATCCTTCCAGACAATTATTTAAACCTAGGATTTGTAGAAAGCACTTCCATTCTCAGTCTGCAATTGAACTCCATCCTTAACCAAGCCTCTGTGTTATGATTTTAGGTAAAAACTTTCATTTCATTTAAATACCGTCATGCTACCCTCAGAACATCTCATTAAAACTGAAAGCACCATTTTCCAATTTAAAAAGAGAACTAGCTCAACTACCACAACGAATTCCTATGAGGACTGACTTCAATTTACATATTATAATCACAATTACAAATTTAGAATCTAAAAATGTCTGCAGAGATAAATGTGGTAAAACCCAATTCAAGGAAAACTGAGACTGCCCTGTGTGTGCGTGTGTGTGTGCGCGCGTGTGCGCACGCACGCGCGTGTGTCTGTGTTAGTCTGTGTGTGAGATATGTGTGGAGGAGGTATGTTTAAAAAACAAACAAACAAACAAAAAACTAAGGTCAAATACTGAGAAGAAATCCGAGGAAAAGCAAGGGAAACTGGGGCGCTCTGAGGATGGAGGGGTCCTGGACTGTGAGTAATAGAAGTAGAAAGTGGACTCAAGCTGGGTGCCAGTGGCTCACGCCTATAACTCTAGCTAATCAGGATGCTGATAACTGAGTATCACAGTTTGAAGCCAGCTAGACAAGGGAAGTCCGTGAGACTCTTACTGAAATTAACCATCCAAAAACCAGAAGTGGTGCTGTGGTTCAAGTGGTAGAGCGCTAGCCTTGAATGCAAAAGCTCAGAGACAGTTAAAAAAAAAAAAAGTGGACACAGCCTTTTGTTCCTAGAGGCAATGACAATGACTTTGACAGAAGGTGAAAGTGGCAAGAATTTCCACAGCATTAATGTTTTCTTAGTGCCTATGAAACAGTTATAAAAATGCTGATTTTTTTTCACCATGTTTTCACCCTAGGGAATCAATTTCTGAAGTGAATCATGTGCCACATGCATAAGAGCACCTGCTAAGATAGGACATGGGCTGGGAACTATCCAAAATACAAAGAGGCACAAAGGTGACTTAAGAAGCTGGCCCTATCTTTGGAAATGTTTTCATTTAGGATGTACAAACTATCACATGTCTTCAACAACAACAACAACAGGAACAAAGAAAAATAGCATTTTTTGAGTAGAAGAGACCACAAGCACATTCAGGCTCTTTCAGGTACCTGGACTTCTGCAGTGAGGTCTCCAAGACAATAAAACAAGAAGTGTTCCCCACTCCACCCCCCCCCACACACACACACAAAAAACAGATTTGAAGGATGAACTCAAATATAAAGTCTACCTGAATTTTTAAGTTAGGCCTCAACCACAATTTTGTTAGTAAAAAATGAGGTGCCTGGCAGGCTCCAATCTATAGTTAGAGTTGAAAATGATGGAAATAAATCACACATTTTATATTTCTGGTCTCTAAGGAATGCTAGTGCAAAGAAAAAGTCTTTAGTGCCTTAATGCGAAATACAGAGAGAAAATATTCATTTCCATAAGAAGATAGAACAGCTAATATCTGAATCTGAGAGAAAAATCCTCTTTCATATTATGTAGCCTTGGCAAGCATTTAGAAAATAAAATTTGAAGTTTAATTCTTTAAATCTCTTCCAAAAAATCAATTACCTGTCATAAATATCTTCCTTCCTACTCCCACACACCCACTACTGCTTCAGTTCAGGAAAGTAAATTGAGTTTCATTTCTGGCCTAATGACAACAGATGGCTTTCCTATTCAGCTATTGGACTTCCTTGACAGCAAACAATATTCTATTCAAACATTTTTGTTACCTCCCATCTATGGCCAAGCCAAGCATACCAATGCTCAAACAGGCAATGATCAAAAAAAAAAAAAAAAAAAAAAGGAAGAAAACAATCTCTTAGAAAACAATTACAAATACCGACCTAAAAGTCATAACTTCTAGAATATATGAGATTTCCAAGTATTTTGCTTGGCGGGAAAAAGGTTTTTATGGCTGAGTCCATATTTTACTTTTGAAGTGGGTTTTCTACCCACTTAATATAGAAGCCTTCCCTCTCACTTGCTTATTCTTCATTTCCTTAGAAGAAATCCTGTCATTGTACAAAGGGGATGAATGAACTAAGACTGATAGGCAAGAATAATTATTTTCTCTGAAGGGAACATTTTGGGGAGGAAGTCAATGCCCAGTTATTTACGGTGGCCTCCAATCATCCCAGCTATAGAAGCCATCGTTTGATGATGATCTGTTGACTTCTTGGGCTGAGGTTTGAAAATAAACAATTGTGAGTCTCTGAAGATAGGAGCTGTCTATATTATGCATTGCACAAATATTGACATGTTTCTGTTTCAAAAGCTGTTACTAAACAATGCTCAACAGGAAATGTACTCATTACTTTACTCATGTAACTGTAACCCCTCTGAATAGCATCTTTACAATAAAACACATTTTTAAAAAAGCTGTTACTGAATATTCTGAACAACATGGCAATAAATGTTATATCTGTATGTTGTCCCAAAATACTTATACTTGAAACATTTTTTTCACCGTTTAATTCCCATAATTGTCCTGCACATATCAACTCCTGGAGTAGCTTTGTCTCTAAATTTTGTCCCCTACTCTAGATTCTTTGTTTCTCCATCCTGAGCCTAAATGTTCACTCTTTCTCTTTTGAGAGCTCATAAACCTGTAAATAATTACTTAGTACATTAAAAAAAAAGTTGGAAGGTTCTTTGTTTGTATTTGTTTACCCTAATACAAATCTCCTTTTTGAACATGGTATTCTACTCACAGTTCAATAAAGCAACCCAACAGGCTTCTTTCTTCCTCTCTGATCAAAGTCTCCTCTCTTCCTTTTTTCTCTCAGCCCCAAGCAAAATGCTTCTCCCATAATCTTTGCAGCTCATAGTTCTCCCATGATTTTCCATGATTTTCTCTCCTTTTTAATTTCTAATGCATTGGACATTGGTCACATGATTTAACACAAATGTCATGTTAAGACTATGTAGCCCAATTCTTCACCTCCCACAGAAAACATCTCTTATTTAGTTAAGTACCTTATGTTTTTATTCCATATACTTATGTTAACAAATAAGCATCTAAGATTCCTCATTATTTTTTAGGGTATATTCCTAACTCTTCTAAGCTTTCTAATTATTATTTTGATTATATCCCATAATAAGTCTCTAAGTAAGTATTCTGTAAAAAATTTTAGGGTACTAAGTGTACCTTCCTCAACAGTGTAAAGACAAAAATTCATAAGTTTAAGGCTTTGGGTGAGAAGTGTTAAAAATGATGCCGATCTCATTAATATGGTCCCATAAAATAATAGTGATGCTGGGCGCTGGTGGCTCATGCCTATAATCCTAGCTACTCAGGAGGCTGGGATTTGAGGACTGTGGTTTGAAGCCATGGTTTGAAAGTCCATGGATTGCCAATTAACCACCAGAAAACAAAACAAGACAAACAAAAACCCAGAAGAGGTGCTGTGCCTCAAAGTGGTAGAGGGCTAGCCTGAGTAAAAAAGCTCAGAGACAGCACCCAGGTCCTGAGTTCAAGTCGCATGACCAACAACAACACCAACAACAACACCAAAAAACAAAGACCACCACCACCACCACCCACAAAACCTATCCATCTACAAACAGTTTTTAATCAGCAAGTAATCTTGGCAGTCATGGCTGGTCACAAGAGAGAACTTAAGAGGGAAATGAGACTTTCAGAGGAATCCCGCTCAGGGATGGAGTAAGATGTCTGCTTTGCAAATTCTTGGGTATTAAAAAAAAATCTGAGAGTATGGTGGTCTCTTACACTAAAGGTGATTTTGGTTTGGGTTCCATCAAAATGAAACCCACAGAAAAAGAGCCATGCCAACATGCAATGTCCTTCCCAGAGGCTGGTCTGTTTTAATCTTATTTTTAATTCCTAGGATATATTTCATCTGCATTGATAACTCAGAGTAATCACAATACAGTGTTCAGCCAGGTAATGGTTATTTTCTATGAATCCTTTCAAGAGTAAGATCCATGGGTTACAAAACAACAATAATAAAGACATATTTTACAGCTTCTAACATTGAAGACTTCAAGCATAGTACTTGGAATTCCATTGCTAGGTGGCACTTATTATTATATTAAAACTTGTCTTTCCAAAGTGTTATCATTGTATATCACGCCAATGTGATTTTAAGTACTGTACTAATAAGTGCTACAAAGCAAGAAGCAATCTCCCCTGGAAGAGATACACAGTATTCTCAATCAACATCTACTTAAGTGAAGAGTTTTGTAGGTCTGATTATGAGAGCATGTGACAAACAGAAGTAAGATAAAATTCCTACCTTGTGTCTGCTTCTTGTTCACAGCATTATCAGCTTTATGGCGTTTCTGAAGTTTAAAAGGAAAAAATAATCACAATAAAAAAATAGACCAGACTAAGAATAGACCCCAGAAACAGTATGACTTTTCTCATTTAGGTTATGTGTTTGGTATGGGTGTGCATGGGTGGAGTGCTGGGGGGGGGGGGGGGGGGAGGAACAGAGAACACTCAAGCCTGAGAGCATTGTCCACAGCTTCTTCACATTTCTTCTCTTCCAATAGCACAGGCTGTGTACCTCACAAGGAGCATATACGAACACATAGGTAAGATTAAAAATTTAATGGAATAAAAACAGTTAAATGGAAAGTCTGTTTTAATCTGATGCTTCAGTAAGATGAAGACTGCTCAAGAGAATTATCTATAATAAGCATTTAATAAATGGTATTGAAATATTTCCAGATAAATTCTTTATCTAATTGAGTACATCTTCTATAATTTAACGCCATGCTGATATCTGTCAATGACTAGAACCAAATACACCTACCATTTTCATACTCCTCTTTTCACTGCTCCTCAAAATCCCACCCCCCCCCCACTAGAAACACAAGCCACTGACTCATAGCATCCTTCCTCAAAGTGACTACAAAATTAAATAGTGAACAGGTGAGTTTGTCTAAGTCTAGCCAGGTGAGTTTGAAGGGTTACATAAGCCACGGTTTGCATAACAGCGAGTAAGAGAATGAAGCAAGGGGAGAGGAAAGGTGAGAATTTGAGGGGCCAAGGGAAGCTCTCTCTTGTATAGTTCATCTGGAGGTTATTCCATGGCTTCTGTCTAAACTTACAGCATCGAGTATAACACATCAGACTCCATTAATGTTTCATAAAAGTAATTCACCCTTGCTCAAAGATTCTGTCATATAAAGTCGAAGGTCACACTTAGTTGTGTGTCTCTGACTATAAAGTAAGTTGGGACAAATATAAAACAAATGAGGACCTAAGTTTTTCATTGAGAAAAGACATGGTGTTTAGAAGCTCAGTGCATTTCTCAAAGAAATGTGCAGAGTAGTAAATGAGCACTTCCTCTGAGTCACTATGCACCACCTAACAGCGGATGGAGTAAAAATTAGAGTGGCAGGGTAAATTCAGTCCATCCAAATTATAAGCCATTAGACTGCATGAAAAGGAAACCAGAAAAATCTGTGGTTCTTATACTATCTACCCAAGTACATGCTATCATTCTTTCTTGGTACAAAACGCTCACTACATATGTATACTAATGTAGACATTTCCTAGGCCTATTTTTTTGCTTCTAAAACAAAGCACAACTTTTCCCCAAACAATCTTAAATGAATTAAAAAAAAATTCTATTGAGCGTGTAGCAGCAGTAGAGACAATGATGATAAAACTCCCAAAGTCAATTTTTTGTTTTTGCTCTTATTGTTTCTTTGGTAACAAAGATCGTATGAAAAGAAAGTAATTCAAGATAAAGTTGGACCCCAAAATAATATTCCAAGGTAAATTTGGATATCAAAGGAGATGCAAATATTTCCAAAGTAAGGCACCTCCGGAGAAGTGATGGGAAGACTTTCAACTGAAGGGGACAAATAAAAGCGAATGGGTGAAACCCGTCACTCTGAACAGGAAACTTAATCTGGATGGAACTTCAGGCTGACTTGGATGTTACTTTCCATCTGCACTGGAAGCATCTCTCCTTAACTTTCTCTCACTCCCCTGAATAAATTAATTGTCAAAAAGCCATGTGTTGGATATACAAGAAGATCTAGGCTGCAGGGAGAAAACATCTAATTTTGTATCATAAAGGCATCATTATTCCTTCCAATACTAATAGTTCAGAAAAAAAGAGGTTATTCTATGATGGAAGTACCTCCACTGTCTTACAATTAAAATTCATTTACCATCACTGAGAGCTAGTGAATAATTTAATACTCAGTGAGAGCTAGTGTTTTTTTAATACCATAAATTTTCAATTGAGAGGAGTGTAGCCGTGAATTGCAATGCATATAAAGTGCCACGAACTTCAGGATACATATGTGATGTTGATTTTTCAGAAATTTAATTTCCATGATAACTTTTAGAGTTGCATTTAAAAGAAATGATGCTAAGTCTTACAGAGATCATATAACTTGCCCAATAAAGTGAGTGGAAGCCCTTTTCTCTTTAGGCATTTCGTATCAGAAATGTCCAGTTTTGCCAGGCACCGGTGGCTCACACCTGCAATCCTAGCTACTCAGGAGGCTGAGATCTGAGGATTGTGGTTCAAAGCCAGCCCCAGCAGGAAGATCCATGAGCCTCTTATCTCTAATTAACCACCAGAAAACCCGAAGTGGAGCTGTGGCTCAAGTGGTAGAGTGTTAGCCTTGAGTTGAAGAGCTCAGGTACAGTGCCCAGACCAGAGTTTAAGCTCCACAACCAGAAGAAAAAAAACTAGTACGGAATGTCCAGCTTCTCCACCTGTACTTTGGTCCTCTCTTATCTTCTCTGCTCCACTGTCTTGCCATGATGAGATTCCTCACAGCTTCATTCCTGCCTGGTCTTCCACACTTCCAACTCTGTATCATCTTCCTAGCTCAACTCTTTCTTACCAATATATGAGTGCTGGCATTCAGACCAAGAGGTTCATTTGAGTTTCATAGTTATATATCTAAGCTCTTTGACATCTCTCTTAGATGGTCTCCAGAGCCTCTCAAACCATGTCAAAATTTCTCAGCTAGTGGATCCCATGAAGTACATCATTTCCAAGCAAGAGGACCTATCTATACATATAGAATAACCATCAGAGCTACTCTTAGACACTAGGATGCTTTTGAGACTGCTGATCTAAATGCTTAATGACCCTTTCTAAGGGGCCTTGTAATGTGGTGGCTTGGCTCATGTCCTCTTTGTTAGTACTGTTAATGAAACCATAGCAATTTTCATGAAATTTTAAATCAGAGTTTCCTAAACACTTCATGAGCCTTTCCTCACATTTCACCATCTTATTATGGTTTGATCGAAGGTCATTTAGGGTTTATAAAGAAGTACTTTAAAAGGATATAAAAAAGAAAATGTTGGCTCCCTCAAGCAAGACAGTTAAAATAGACAAAACAGAGCGGGGGGAAGGTCCATTTTATTTTGGGGAATTTGTCTTATAAAGGGGAAATTAACTTCTCTTTTTCTACGAATCGAGAACATTAAAAATAACTTCCTTTTTCCTAAAACAAGTGGAAAGGAAACTCAGAACTACTAAAATAAAATGAGAAGAAATTAAAGGCATTTCATAAAGTGAAAAATCATGGTACTACGAGTTTATAAATGACCAGGTAACTCGAGGAGACGGCTGGAATTGGGACAAATGGGGCAGAGAGCAATGGAAGGGGTGATTATATTCATAAACTGACATGCTGAATTGAACCCCTTTGTACAACTACTTAAATTTTTTCTACATATTTTTTATTGTAAAAATACTGTACAGAGGAGTTACAGTTACATGAGTAAGGTAATGAGTACATTTCCTATTGAGCATTGTTACCTCCTCCTTTGTTTTTCCCCTACCATCCCTTCCTTCCCCACCTCCCCAACTCCTCCCTCCCCGCCCCAAATTGTAAAGTTCATTTTCCACATAGTGTCTTTTACATCTCATTGTTACAATGGGTCAACTGTATCCTTATTTAAGCATTTTGTTATATTCCTCCCCCAAATTTAAAGAAAAAAAATGTGTATACAAGATGCAGGACACCGGAATCAGATACAGTGAAAATAGGGGTTATACTAAAAGAAACAAAAGAATCACATAGTGCATTATAAGTACATTGAAAACAATAGCAAGAAAGAAAAAACCACTTGTGTCCCTGTCTTGGGGTTCATTTCGCTTACCTCATCTTATATGGTCATATGTACATGGCTTTTGACCTTTTCTGTTTGTCCTAGACATGTACTAGTTATTGCAAATAAGAGAAACCATGGGACCTATGTTTCTTTGGGCCTGGCTTACTTCACTTAGTATAATTTTTTCCAAGTCTTTCTATTTCCTAACAAATGGGGTAATGTCATTTTTTAAGAAAAGTTTAAAATGAAAAATGCAAAAAAATTCTTCAAGAAAAATTAATTTCCTTGAAAGTAATGTTTGAATATAGCTCCCTCTTTAAGCAAATCATTACATTACAACTAACTTCTATTTTTTCTGCCAATTCTAGAACTTGAACTCAGACCCTGGGCACTGTCTCTGAGCTTTTTGCTCAAGGCTAGTACTCTACAACGTGAGCCACAGCTCTACTTCTAGCAATTTGGATAGCTCATTGAAGAGTCTCATGAACTCTCCTGCTTGGGCTGGCTTTGAACTTTAATCCTCAGATCTCAGCATCCTGAGTAGCTAGGCATAAGCCACTGGTGCTGGGTTCCACACTCCAATCAACTTTGATTCTTAAACTACAAACACAAGAGAACACTGACTCTTGGTACCATTGTAATCTAATAGGAATTAACTTTGATGGTAGGAACATAGTCCCTATATTTTTATAGTTAATAGGCAGTTTTAACAGCCTGTACTATGAATAAGATAAGAAAAGATTATTATGTGTAGGAAACACTTATACTAATGAAAATTTCAATACTTACAATATCTTCTATTATCTCTTTAACAGCTGCCACAGCTAAAATAAATAAGAGAGGAACCAGTGTTGTATAACGACCTGTTGGTGACACATCAGGTATTTGCTATTTGAAGAAGGAAAAAAAAAAATCAAGAGAAATTTGATGAGAAGAAGAAGGTTTATTATAAATCTAGAATCAACAAAATCCTAATACCTTCTAAAACAGGGGAGGTTAAATACATAATTTAAAAATAAATATCATTAGCTATATAGTAAAACACGTGACAACTGAAATATCTAAGAAACACAATGAATAGTGAGGAAAATGTCTCTTCATCATTATAGGAACAATGCAGATTACAAAATAACACATGCTCTATGTACCTATGATAATCCATAAACAGTGCTAACCAGGGTGAAAGCAAGACCACAGGGATCTTATATTTCATTACCTTTGATGGTAGACTTAGGAAAAAAAATTACTTTTTTTCTTTATGCTTAGTTTTATAGCTTTTTCTTTTCTTTTTATAAATGATTAAGGCTATATTTAAATAAATTTTTTCCCAAAACATTTGCTGTAACCAATTCCTTTTTGTTTTGGTGGTAGTGAGGATTAAAGCCAGGGCCTTCCTCTTACATTTAAAAAGCAAAACAAAGCCCATCCCAACAATCCCAAAGGCTTGCAGAGACAGTGGAATCCCTCACTGTGTGTGGCAGTCACAGAAAAACTACAGGCCAAAATCAGCCCAGCTTTCCACAGGGAAGGGTCATGGACTTAACAAAAACCTTTCCTAGCACTTGACTCTGAACTAACGTTTTAAGATATGACTTTACCTGAAGCAGTGCAATAAAGAGAAAAAATGAATTAGCAGCTCTTCTGAACTGAGAGTAGAGAAATCTCGGAAGGAATGTGATTATGTTGTACTTTGCAGTGCTAGAAAACAGAAATAAAAAGTACCATAAAACTTAATTACTAGGCAATTAGCACCCACAGTTAGAAAGTTCTGTTAGCCACTACATAAAAAAAGTAGATGATGAATCTTTGTTCACTGTGTCAAACTGGGAGAATATTGCAAGGGATCATTAACTTAAATGAAGCAGTGTAAGGAAATAGCAAAATAAAGTTCTACTGAGTAAATCTCTCTGGTTTTATTGTTTGTTTTGAGATCTTCATCCTCTGGCCAATTACTCTGCTTAACAGCTTTAGGTAAGAGGTTACTAACATTTTAAGAGATAACACATTAAAAGAAAAGAAAAATGACAGCAATTTGAGGAGATCAGACCCCCTACCTTCCTGGGTAACTGCAGGTAAATAGAATTTCCTAGGGTTCAGCTTAAACTGTCCTCAAGGCTACTTTAGGCATGAAGCAAAGACTTCACACTACTCACAGTCAGTAAGACATGGCCACAGACAGCTCTTCCTCTCAGTTGTCAAATGGAAGAGAGACTAGAGGATACAATAGTTCATACCTCATACTTTCCAAACTGGTATTGCTCAAGAATTTCAAGTTGTAAATATTAATTTGAAATGGCACCCCTCAATATAGAAGTTATACCACTTAGAGAAATGATGAAGTTCCTATCCACTCTAGTGACTAGTGCTTACATAGATACATTTTATACTATTGTTAGAAAACAAACAAATAATATAGTAAGTCTCACAGCATTATACTCCCTAAATTTCACAACCACCAAGAATACTTAAAGACTATTTAGTCAAAAAAATAAAAAAGCAAAAAGTTCTTGGTATAGGATTGCAAAGATGTTTTCTAAAATGTTAAAACTTTTTAACCAAAACCAACACATTGCTCTGTTAACAGAAACATGACAGTCTCTTTACATACTACTGGTGGAATTTGAATATACCTTCCTAATATTCTTTACTGGACAAAAGATGCAGAAACAGCAGAAGTCATACTGCTACCAAATATTAATTACTGAACTGAAAGTTCCTTATAAACATTTTCGGTCTGCTTGTCCAACTCTGGGTGGGTGGTATTCCTGTGGCATTCAATTCCTACCTGACATGGTTATTGCAGAACTTTGTCAGCTGAGGTTGGTTGATGAATATAGTCCTAACTTCCTCCTGATCAGCCAATGAGGTCTTCTCTGAAACATCATCAGTCTTCTCATAACCTTCAAAAGAGACAGTCTTCTTAGTTGATGAGAAATGTTACCCAGAACAAACACTCATCTCATATCTATTCTGCAATGTAAAATCTGATTTAAAAAACACATGCTTGGTTTTGTCTTGTTCATCTTCCAACAAAAATCATAAAATCCCTCTAATTAATATTTCAATTAGATTTACACTGTAATACTGAATAGTCACATAAAAATGGACTCACTTAAAAAAGTAACATCTCTTAAAAATAATCTCTAAATCTCTAAAATTGTAACATAACATCCCTTATATAAAGTTATCAGATGATAAATTTAAAAATAATAATCTTAACGTATAAATAAAAAGCTCAAAAGCAAATAATGTTAGACTGAGAGCATAGATGAAACTAATAAATATACTAAAAATATAAGTAGGAGGAGGTAACAATGCTCGACAGGAAATGTACTCATTACCTTACTCATGTAACTGTAACCCCTCTGTACAGCATCTTTACAATAAAAAATATATATTAAAAATATCTAAGTATATACATATAACATTCTTCTGTTTTTCTTTTTGGATGAAAACATAAAAGAGAGCACTATTACCATAGTCTCATCATTCTGTCAACTAGGATTTATGTCCCTAAAGGAATCTTACATTTCTTAAGATCACTTCAAGACATTTCATTGGAACAATGCAATAGATTCAATGCAATCAATGGAACAATGCAATAGATTCAATTGAGCACTTTGCTGCAATAGTCACACCACTTTTTTAAATGATGTTTAAGTTCTTCAAGAACTGATAAGGAGCTGAAAGCAGTTTAAATTGCTTATTGTATTTTCTAGTGAAAATTAAGTGAGGATGGACTAAATCGATCTCTTACACTTTTGCTAGAAGGGATACTGACACTACCTGAAAAATCCATTTTTCTTGTCTTTTCCTCTTCAGAACCTCCTATAAGATCTGCTGATGTATGGTCTCCCCTCTAGCTCCATAATGTTAGTCAGTGAAGCTCTTCTGGTCCCACAACCTTCTGGAGTTCCTTTTCTTCCAGCAAAAGACTTACCGGGTTTTCCTGCTGCCTATTTATGAGTCAGTCTCCCCCTACCAGAATAGGAATTCCCTGGGGCGGTGGACGATACGTTGTTCATCTTCCTAACACCAGTCAAACAGCAGGTACACAACAAATGTTTGCCCAAGAAATACATGCCAAATGACAAGATTTTAGTTGGCCGTTATTTTGGGGGTAGGCAAAAGCTTTGCCACCCACTGATAAAGACACTAAACAGACAAGAGCTCGTAGAAGATGGTACAAGAAAAGATGCCTGTGGGATGCAGACACTGTTGGAAGCCAGAGAATCACTGAGATATTCTATGAAGTTGAAGGCCAGAACAGAGAGCCAGGGAGATGAAAAGCATTAATGCTGATTAATGCAGGACACCATGTAAGGAAGTACCAGGTCAGCTCAAGAAGACCTCCCAAGATGGGGAAGAAGTCTGGAGCAAATTCCTAACAGTGAGAACCACTGATTTTTCAGGATGAGAATCAAATTTCACTCACAGCACCTGGGAGGGCACATGGCTCCAAACTAGATCCTGCTACCCCCATCTTATAGTTTTTTTAGACACATTCAGTTTTACCCATAGTCACATGGTTAGTGATGATCTATCACTAAATACAAGCTTTTGTCCCCTTGTTTCGTGTCTTCAAAATTTCATAAATGGATTATCCAAAGAGGCGTAGCAATTTTAGAAATTCTTTAAATATGCTTTATTCTCCATGATAACACAAAGCCAGAATGTAGTATTTGTGATTAATAGTTTAGACAAGAGAGCTTCAAGAAAATCTGCTCTGATCTGTTCTCTGCTCTGAGTGGCCTAGGGTAGCCTAGCCCTCTGGTGACCTCAGCTCAGGGGTGAAGGGTATGGCTCACAAAACATCACGAGCCCTCTGTTGATCTTTGCCTCACCAGGCAATCCATTTATACTGGGTCTCAATGCCAGAGAGAGTTGGATATCTCATCTGCCCCTCATCTCAATTCATACCAATGAATGTCTACTCCTAGAACAAAAGGAGCTTGAATCAACCTTTTCTCTTAAATAAGAATTAGAGTAGGTAAACTAATCTTAATGGATTAGCAAGGTCCCAATCAAGATCAGATAGTAAGGGACTTATAAAAAGAAAATACCAAAAAGGGAAGATAGGCGTAAACTGGGCACCTGTTACCCAAAGTAGTGATATGAAAGACCTGGATGTTTCTAGGCACAGAATATTGCAGCTGCAGAAAGCTTCCTTACACATAGACACTATGGGGAAAATGGTGTATGAAGCTGAATTTATGGCGAGTTCGTGGAGTTGTGGAATGTCCTGACCAGATGTATATTATGAGAGGGAGCTATGTACCAAAAGCAGACAGTGAAAGCTTTAGCCAGTAGGAGATGGCAGGCACCTTTCCTCTGACTTCTTAAGCACAGTAAGGCTCTTAGAGCTTGCAGTTACATGGAGACCCAACAAGGATATGAGGCCGGGCTCAAGATGTCTGGAGACCAGAGCTTGCATGTCTTACCAAGCTCACTGCAGCTAATCTCCTGATGAATGCCTAACTCTAGCAGCGAGCCATCTAATCAGTTCTGAGGATTATTCTCATTAAGAAACCTGGGAGAAAGACCTGCATTTTTGCTAAGCTGGAAAGTAAGAGATAAGAACTATTGTAATCTGGTTGAACACGGATCTTACATTGTGGAAACAGGCAAGTTAGGCCTGAGTGTATGGATAATCTATCAATGTATATTCCATTGGGGGGGGAAGGTCCTTTTATTTAAGTTAATAACTGATTTTTGGGAACAGTGACTAGCAATCTTGCGAGTAGTGGCTAACAATTTTGATGACAACTTCTTACTTAGACATGAAAACATATTCCCTGCCTGCAAATAATTAGCTACTCAACATGAATGAAACAAACTTTTTAGGCCTCTGTTTTTTTAAATGACTATTTTCTCTGTAAATTACCATCGTCATCAGCCACGATGGCCACATGAGGGGCTCTGACTTCATTAGTTACATAATGATGGCAGGATAGGGAGAATCTCCTGAGAAGCCAATCTTCAGAAGGCACTATTACTATTCCTTCCCACCTACATGGTTCTGTTTTTGCTTTAAGGAGAAGTGAAGTTCCTTAAGATATTTTTTCCTAATTCATAGAAATTGTTCAAATATGTCATTAATCCACCAGTCCTGACTCCTAAGGACCACTGAGACCTGAGTTGCTTTTCAAGCAGCAGAAGAGAGATGAACAAAGCCTTGGCTCTCGTCTACCTGGCCAGGTCCCATCAGAAGTCCTCTTGTTCCAAAGGCATGCTCAAGATGAAGTTTGCTGAGAGGAAGAAATGATGATCCCAATGTCACTCTGAAGTGAACAAGTGCTCCTCTTCCTGGAACAGTGCGGATCAGCAGACCCACATGCCAGCTGTGAGAGGACGAAGTGCTACTACAGATGTCATCCCCCATAGACCACTTGGTCCCTGGAGTGTTACGTCATTTCCTTGTAAGAGGAAGAAGCAAGGCTGATAACCAGATATCCGCTTCTAACGCTACAATCCAGTGAAATTGGTACCCACTAGACACCTGGCAGGAGAAAGTCAAGAGCCTGTTTGTTGAGACAAGCAAGGAAATTTAAAAATAAAATAAAAAATTCCCTCATTTGAATCTTTATTAAGACATTTCACAACACTTACCCTCATCTGTAGCCAAGACTCAACCTCAACAGTCAAATGCTGCTTTGTGACTGTGGTAAATCTCTGTATGTGAAGAGCTTAGTAGTGGTTATAAGCTGCTGCCAGCAATCACCTGACAGCCTCTGTCCAGATGTAGCACATGCTTGTATGCACACAGTACAATGCACCAGAGAAGAAAAACGCTCAACATTTAAGTGGAAGGCTTTATTGTTCTGCTCATACTATGACAGAAGCATCATCTCTCAAAGCTTTCCATTTCTCATCACACATACAATCCAATTAGTAAGATCTCTTTAGTTCAATCCTTTGCTCACTCATTCATTCAACATGCTCTAAAAAATGCTATAGAGACAGCAGAAAAGAAGATAAGGTCCCTCTCAGGGGCTGATTTTCTGGAAAAAGAATAAGGATAATTTACACATCGGAGTCGGGGAGAGGAAAGAAATAAAACAAGCGATTGGCAGAATGGTTGGTAGACCGCTTCATGCTTTAGCTTCATCATTCAGTGATTGTGAGATAGAATGAGGGAAAGGGAAAAGATAGTGTCTGGCAAGTTGCCATTTTCACTGCTGTGGATGCTTTTCTGATGGCTGCCGCTGATTTATACAAGTGATTAGAAAAGGCTTCTCAAGGAGCCTGAGTTCAGTTCTTGATGACAATAGACTCAATAGAGAGAGAGGCAGAACAATGCCCTTTTCTTGGATTTCCAGGAGAATAAGGACCAGTAATAATAAAGAAGGTAAACCTGAAGTAAAAAGAAACAGGGCCAGACTGGGAGGAATAGCAAGTAACTTGCTATTATGCCCTAGGAATGAGCAGAAAGATCATTTCAGACTATATGCTAATGCAAGTAAAAGATGGAAAGGGCTGAGCAAGATTGTGGCAACAGATATGAAAGGAAGTGAAGTACACACGATATTTCAAGGAAGGGTAGGTCTAGCATGACCCTTGCTGTCAAGCCTGACTTACTGGTTGAGATAGGGTCTCACTAACTTATTGCCTGGGCTGCCAATGAATTGTGATTTTCCTAGTCAGCTTGGGGTTACAGATGGGAGCCACTGCTCCTGGCTTCTCATGATCATTTTATCAGTGTATTGTGCCACATACTCCTAAACCAGAGTTGTGGGCCAGAGACCCAGATTCTAGTAGTTCTGCAAGTCAGGTAGCTACTCTCTCCAATACACCAAATAAAGAAATGAGTAACAGTGAAAGGCAGGGAAAAAGATGTATTAGGAGGACTTATTTTGCTTGAATGCTGCAGAAGAGATCAAATGCACACTTCAGCCAATCT